TTGCATTTTTATTTATAAAATTTATTTCATTCTAACATTAATAAATTCTCTCTATAATTTTTCATGTTATTTCATTGTTTATGTCTTAATTATATGTTAGTTATTTGTTCTTTAGAATTATTATCTTTTATTTATTTATTGTATAATTGTAGAATATTGATATTATTTAATTTTATATTTATGATTTACCTTTTTTATTTCATGTATAGTAAATTATTATTTTTTATAAAAATGAATAAACAATAATATAATTATATTAATTTATAATACTAACATATAGCTTCTCTATCATCATGTATTATAAATTGATGAAGTTGAAGTATACCTACTTTACCTTTACTTTACACAATATTAATTTATCATATTTTATCTTTGATTAATTAGATAATTATCTTAATAATTATTCAAAATATATTCCTTCTCTAATTACTAACTTACTAATCAATTAATTAATTTAGATCTAAGTTGTTTTATTAATGAAACAATTCATAATACTAATATGTAACAACTCTATCTTTATGTCTTATAAATTGTCAAAAACTATGTGTACTAACATCACCTTAAGTTTTATATACTGTTAATCTATATAAAAATTAAATCTAGCTTCTAAAAACAATCAATTACATAATTATTTATATTTAATTAAAATATATCATCTAATTAAAAATATTTTTCTATTTTCTATTATGAGAATAATTCATTTATTTAATTAAATTAAAATATTTTTATCATATTAATGTAACCATTTATAGTTTTATTGTGTAGCTCTCTACCTTTGTACACTTTAAATTATTAAAATTTTTGTGTATGAACATTACCTTGAGTCTTATGTAATATAAATTTATAAAATAAAATTTTAATCTTTTTATTAAATAAATATCTTCTTTAATCAATTTAAATATATTTATTTCTTTCATTAAATAAAATTAATTTTATATTTTAATTTTTATTAAGTCATATTTTTAAATTTAATAAATTAAATAAATAAACATTTATTCATTTTATTATATAAATTTTTGTAACATCAATGTGTTGCCAATAAATCATAATAGATTTATGTATGGCTTATGCCATCTTAAGTTCTCTTTCAACATGAATTATAATTAAAATATAAATTCAAATATTTCATTTACAAATATTTTTTTTTAACGATTTATAATATAGTTATGTGATCTTCATTCACCTTCTCTATTGTTTCTCATAAGAATTGCATCCGGAGATACATAAGAAGGGGAAACCAAACCCATCAAAACAATTTTTAAAATAATTTTTCTCTTTTCTAAGATACAAATTAATATTTTAATGAATAAATTTTCTTCTTTTAACAATAAAAATAACAATACTTATTGTTGTTTAGGGATTACATAAGTATTTTTTAAAATAAAGATAAAACACAATCAATCTAAGGTAACTGTTATTTAAACAAATATAGTAAAATGTCTATACCTTTTCAACACGTAAACAACTCTCAAACTAATTTTTTATTTTAAAGATCACAATGTCATAAAAGTTTTTTTAAATTTTTTAATAAACTTTAATAACAACTCCTCTAATTTTTTTGAAAATAATTTATTTTTAAAAGATATTTTTCTTAAAATATTTTTGTCGAATTGTTATGACTCGCGGTTGCAACAATAAGTAGAAAATATTATATAATTAATTTATGTAATTTTTAAAAAATAAAAATAATTACATAAAAATAAAAACTTTTATTATATTTTATATATTTATTTTTATTTAAATATTTTATATAATTTTTTTATTTATATAATTCAAATAATATGTCCAACCTTATTATATTTTTATTAGTTATAAGAAAATTTGGAAGTGGGTACTTCATTTGAACATTTTATAAACTAAAGAGACTAACTATAAAAAAATTAAAATTGCACAACTTTAAAATATAGAGACTAAGTGAAATTAACAACATTAATCATTAAATATAGGATAAATCATATGATGTAATTAAAAAGATAATAACTGTTAATTAAGGATTGTTTAGGGAGGAGAGGAGAAGAAAAAATTTATATTTTAAATAAATATATTTAAAATTAATATTTTAAAAATAAAAAATATAAATAAATATATTAAAAAAACTTAATATATTAATAATATATTTGTTATCATAAATAATATATAATTCTTTTAATTTAAAATTAAAAAATATGTCCTCCCACCTTTTTCTTCCAAATATATTCTAAAATCCCTTTCACTTAATATTATTTTTCTTTTGTTTAAGGTCTAACAATAACCTCCTGTTCAAACCACTGAGTCAACCTAAAGGATTGCTTCTTTTTTTTTTGTGCTAATTAAAGGATTGCTTTAACCTAATATAACTCTTCGTACCAGCATTTATAGATAATTTATAAATATTAATTATTAAAATATCTCAAACAATAGTACCTTTAAAAATTAATTTTTTCTCAAGTAATTAATCTGAAATAACAAATTTAAATATTTGAAATCACTTAATCCATATTTTGTACCTTACATGCATGTATCTAAAATGCATATGGCTAATTTTAGAAAATAAATAAGAAATCATTGAGTTGGATAAATACTCCAAAATTAATCTGTGCTCTAAAATTAAAATTAGCACCAATACTTATATATAAAATTTGAAATAATAAATACTATAATTATTAATAATAAACATTCTATTATATGAAATAAAATTCAATACAGATTTTTAAAAAAATATAAATCACGAAAAAATAAATTTTAGATTCATATTAAATTAAAATATAAATACCTAAAGTAAAAAACAAAACAACTTAATAATAATAATAAGTCCTAATGACGTTTTCGTTAAAAATAGCTTCTAAAAGCATTCTCATTTAAGGTGTTCACAAATTAAATAATAATTAATACTCATTAATAAATTTAAAAATTAGCATTCACAAGTTATCATAATATCTAATATTCAATCAATATAAATAGAAGAGCATTAATGAAAAGGAGAGAAAGCATTGTGATTATTAAAATATTGGTTAGCATATCTTACTTTCATGCGTACTAAGATTAACATTTTGATGGATTATTAGCATATTATGGTCATGCAACAACTCATTGATAAAATATAAACACTATTTAGCCACTGATACGTCTCGATATAGAAGAACAAGGCCATTAGAAAGATACAGCTAGCAACAGTTAAATGCTATACATAACATAACATGCGAACAGAAAGCAGTGTGTTGGAACTCCAAAATATTCTTTATTGAGAAGAGACCGATTTAATGCAGGGAAAAGGGTGTGCACTTGAAACCTTTTGTGGTGTACAATAGATAATAGTTTTGTTCCCAATCCTATGTACTTTCGTCTTACTCACCATCATAAATCATAATGCCTCTATACCAACCCTATTTGTCATTACATATGAATCACTTTTAACTAAATGAAACCAAATGACAGCATTTTGATTCATCCATTCATCTTCATTATGATCAATAAAAAAGTTAAGATATTATTTTGTCATCTGCTTTGTCAAATGATGATTAGTTTTCATAGCTAGTTTGAAAACTAAAGAAAATAAAGGGAATTGTCCTCTAACACATGGTTCAAAAATGGTTTTCCTCTTGTCAATGATCGAACATCAAAAGATTTGACCTCTTTGCTTAACTTTTAATGTGGCATATAATTTATCTCAGCTTATATTTTTATGAAAATTTTATTTTACTCGTTTTTAAAGTTTAACATTTCTTGTCTCTTTAGTAATAATTTGGTTAAATAAAAAGTTGTGATGTATTAATTTTTTATCTGGCATGTCAATTAAAAAGACTAAATGTATTAAATTTATAAAAATAAAAAGAACTAAATTAGAATATTGTAAAAATATAAAGATTAGATTTGGTTACATTTTTTTGTCATCATACTTTAACACATGCAATTTTGGTCATCTTAATCTTAATTATTTATGTATAGTTTTTTTTTAATTTTTTAAGTATTTAAATTAAATCTTTTACCTCAAAATTAAGATTTTATTATATTTTAAATACTCTATTTAAATATTTTATATACTTTTATTTATTTATTTATTTATATAAATTAATACAAATACTATACCTCTATTATAATTTTATTAATTATTAGATAAAATTTTAGGACAAAAATTTTAATTTATTATTTAAAAAATTAAAAGAATTAAATATAAGCAATTAAAATTAAGAGGACAAAAATCACACATATATTAAAGTATAAAGAATAAAAGTGTAATTAAACCTAAAAATATATTTAATCGATAAAATTAATTATTTTTTTTAAATTTTAAATAAATGAATATATTTTTTAAATAATTAAACTAAGCATACACTTAATTTATTTAAAATAACAATTAATAGGTAATTTTTAATAAAAATATCGTAACACCAAATGCGAAAATCTAAACGGCAGCATAAAATAATTATCCCCTCAATGCATTTTTCTCCTAACTCATTTCAAAAGTTTCATTTTTTTAATGGTTTCTCGATTGTCCCTCTACTTTAGGTTTCCGAGGTTTATTGAATGAGAAGAGGAGGTTTCAAAGTTTTCATTTTTTTCAACCTTTTGATTTATCTTATTTTGTGTTTACAAGCTTATGATTTTTGTTATTTCTCTTTTTCCTTTCATTTTATTCTTTTGTTTTTCAGAGAAGGGGAAGTTATATATTACAATTTTTTAATAAAAAATTTCAGAATACAGTACAATTCAATAAATTAATAATAATAAATATTAAAATTTTTGAATGAAAGTTTATATTACTTATTACATGCTAAAAATAATATATTTGTAAGGGGAATTAATGGTTAAGAGAACAAGGAATTAATTTAAAAAATTAGTGAAAAAAAAGAAAGAGACGTTGGATGTAGTACCCGCCACTATGGGGGGATATAGTTTTGAGTGGTCCAGTACTAATTAAGTATCCATAAACACCATTAATATTGGGCAATTAAATTCCCTTAGCGAGTAAAGTGAAACGTAAAAGAGAGAAAGAGATGAGAAGGGGAGAGTAGATCACAGTAATGGGCTGCAACAACTCAACACTGGATGGCCTCCCAGCGGTTGCACTGTGCCGTGACCGTTGCAGATTCGTAGAGGAAGCTCTCCGACAAAGCTACGCCGTGGCAGATTCACACGCCGCACACATCCACTCCCTCAACACTCTTGGCCCCGTTCTCTCCCTTTTCTTCCGTCAATTTCACCACTCAGATGACAAAAAGGAGTTCAACCCAACTCGTTATGATTCTTCACCATCACCATCACCATCACCATCACCATCCCCCCCTCCTTATGTAAACTATGCGCCCTCACCTCCTCCCCCCACCAACTCAGCATGGGACTTCTTGAACTTTTTTGAAAGTTTTGACAAATACCAAATGCCTTACAGCCCCACGCGTGAGCATCCCCCTCCGGAGAAGGACACAACTAATTTTGATTCTGTTTCCCGTGGAGAGCCATTGAAGTCAAAGGAACATACCCACTCTGATTCACCCAAAGGTTTATCAGAGGCGATGAAAGAGATTCAGACTCTATTTCAGAGAGCATCCCGTTCCGCCAACCCCGTTTTGGAATTGCTTGACGTCGGCAAACTCCGTTATCATCGTAATATAGCCGTTAATCCTGGTACGCATCTCAATGTTCATCACTTTTTGTTTTTAATTTTATTTCAGCAACAATTTAATAACAAAAAAGAGATTTTATTTTGGGGTCAGATCCTTGCACGATGATGCATACCTTTTCTCCCTCAAACCCCCTAAACTGCATGGAATCCTCGAGAATGTATGAAGGAGTTGACATGCACAAGGGCCTTAGGCGTGCGAATCTTAGCTCTACTCTCTACAAGCTGTGTATATGGGAGAAAAAGCTCTACGACGAAGTCAAGGTAACACTAGCTGTGGATTAAAGTTAAGCCCTTGCGATTCGGAGAAAACCAGAATGTTTTGTAAATGAACATAATGTTTTATTCAGGGTGGGGAGAAATTGCGCATGCTTCACGAGAAGAAGTGTAGGCAGTTGAGACGTGTGAATAAAAGGGGTGCCGATGCTCACAAAGTTGGTTCTGTTGAAACTCTCATTGCGATTCTAGCTACAAAAATCAAAATTTCTTTCCAAGTAGTTGACAACATATCTACCACCATTTGTAAGTTGACGGAGGAGGAGTTATGGCCGCAGATTAACAATTTCATTTTCAGGTATCACATATCTCAACTTTCTTGCCATTCTAATTGTTTGAAACCTCTGTTCCCTAGGTGACAGCGACGAGCCGCACTATCTTTTTATTTGAGTTGCTATGATTAAAATACATTGTCATGATGGTTTTATTTTATAACATAAGGTGCTAATAATGTGCTAACAACCGCGAATGGAGGTAATTAATCTGATGGAATAGACACACCCAGTAACCAACAGTAGGAAGATAATGTCTCATTCTGTTGAAATAGAAAGCAACGAAAATTTAGCAGAATTATAAGGGGGATCCAGAGAATTATAAATGAAATAAGTAATAAACTTTGCACCTTTTCAACAAAATCTAGTGAACCACTAGTAAGGCTGTGGTGCACTCATTTATTATTCTATAATTTCTTCCCTGAGATTGCATCAGACAGAATACCATTTTCTTTCTTTAGCGTCGCTAATAGTTACCCATTTGTGAAGGTTTCTTGGAATGTGGAAAGAAATGCTAGAATGTTACAAATGCCAGTATAAGGAAATTGCCGAAGCCAAGAGTATAGATGTGTCTTCTTTCAGCAGAAAGCTGAGCAATTCTCATCTTGATGAAGTAATAAATCTCAAATCTGAGATACAGAACTGGAATTTAAGCTTCTCAGATTGGATTTACGCCCAAAAGTCCTTTGTGAAAGCCTTGAATGGTTGGCTAATGAGATGCCTACCGTATGAACCTGAAGAAATACTTGATGGGATTGGTCCCTTCTCTCCTGGAAGGATTGGTGCACCGCCTGTGTTTGTGGTCTGCACCAAATGGTCACAGGCAATGGATGTTCTCTCAGAGAAGAATGTGATTGAAGCTGTAAATGGATTTATGGTCAAAGTGAATGAGCTCTTGGAAAAACATGTTTCAGACCATCAGCAAAACTTAACAGTGGATAAGGAATTAGAGAGAAAAGTGAAAATCTTGGAGAGGCAGGAGCAGAAGATGCACAAAGTGGTTCAGTCTCGAGAAAGAAAAAAGATTCCAAATGCCAGAGAGGATAATGATGTCCTGTTACGAGGGGATGGTGATGTTGTTGATATACTGAGCTTCCAGTCAGGTCTAAAACATATATTTGCTGCCATGGAGAGGTTCACTACCACCATTGCTTGTGCATATGAACAATTGTGCCAGCAAATTGACGAAGACAACCACCGTTTGGGATAATTCAACAACATCAATTAGTTTTATACCATTTAGATAATTGATTCTTGAACTCAGCAACATTCGCCATTGATTCATTACTTTTGTCTATGCATATTTCACATATTTTTCCGAATTTTATGTATACAGAAGGCTCAAATCTTTGGAGAAAATGTTAGCTAATTGAATTAAAAGTAATGCGTTTAAATGTTAAACCGTACTAAGATAAATCATGTATGTTTGTTTCTTATATGTGCATGTTTGGGAGAGAGCGTTGCAGCTCCCCAAATGCGTGCTTATACACCATCAACGTGATTGAGTAATTATGTTTATATGGTTAGTTGAAGCAAATTTAAATTAAGAAAAAAATCTGTATATAAATCGTTTTACTTCAAATTTAATTTTAATGAAAAACAATTTTATAAAATTAAAATTATCCAAGATTAAGTTATCGAAATACAGATACACAGTGACACGTAATCAATCTCAAAATATTCTTCACACGTGTTCAATCTCACAAAATATTCTTTAGACAATCAAAAAAGACTTGAGTAAAAAAATCTAACGGTAAATTTTTTTCATTACTCAATGGCACGATAGTGATTTTTTCTCTAAACATATGTGTAACATTCTCTTTTTCAACCTTTGTGTGCCCTCGATACATACCCCTAGTGATTGATTAACCTTATTAGTATTTTATTTTGCTTTCCTTTTAAAAATTTGATTAAACAAATGGTGTGAATCACTGTTTGTATTTTATCAAAAGAATTATCCTTTGAATTATTTTCTTGAAATTAGTAATATTTATTTTGCTATCGTTGATTTCAAACATTAATCGCTAAATATTAAATATTTGAACAACAAAAAGATTTTTTCCAAAATTTGTGTCATTATCAAAATTAAGCAAATTAGGATGAGATATAATTTATTTTGGACATCTAAATTATTTTTTAAAATTAGATTTTATTTATTTTATTCTAACCCACAACTTTACGAATCAAATTATAACTTCCCCTCTATGTTTTAATTTCAAAAAATAGAAAGTATGTGTCCAATGACATATTTACATGAAAGTTTAATGAATAATTATGCAAAAGTGATATTGTATCAAAATACTAACTTCATTGCAAGTCAGTTCGCACCAAACACGGTTTTGATTTTCTAAACTCCAACTTAAAATATGAAGGTATTATTTTTTAAATAGAAGAGCAGATTTAGTGATAAAAAATAAATGAGCATACATGATATGTATAGAACTCTACCTATCATAAAGTTCAAAATATAGATAAGATAATGGAAACTTCAAAATTTGTTAAAATCAAAACTTCTGTATAAATAGACCACATAAGTAACATATTTCTTCAAAATAGAAAACATAATTTGTTACTATTGTCACAGAAATACTAACATTTTCTCACTTGATTCATTTATCCTATTATAAATCATAACAAGAAACTCAATATACAATCATGATGATAGTTATTCTAATGGTGGGTATTATCTCTCATGTATCACAATATATCAAATCTCTCTAACACTAACTCTTAACTTAATGAATAAACTACATATTTACTTAAGGTTAAAATTAAATGAGATTTCTTAAAATAAATAAATAAATATGTGCACAAAATAAATGAGAAAACATAAAAAACAAAAATACCTATAATAATTGTTACATCATGGAATCAATTTTCATTTGTGCTACATGATTCTTAAAATTCTTTGGTGGCATACCTTTAGTCAAAGGATTGACAATTATCAACTTAGTGTTAACATGCTTAATGACCAATTTCTTTTCTTTAATGCGTTCTTTTGTGGTTAAATATTTAATATCGATGTGTTTACTTTGACTTTTACTCTTATTATTATTAGTCATAAATACTATAACAGAGTAGAGCAATCAACCCTAAAAATGCTATAACAAGACAGGGGATAGCAATTTGACTGTTATTTTAGGCATTTAAATATACCATATATAAATTAAGCTACACACACACACACACACACACACACACACATATATATATATATATATATATATATATATATGCTGAAAAATGCAAAATTAAGATCCAAATGATCAAAGTGAAAGTTTAAAATCATGACAAACATGTCAAATATCAATAACAAGTAACAACAAATACAAGAGTAAAATAAATTCAAGTCTCTAATGCTTAGAATTTTAAAAATACTAAATATTCAATTCAAATACAAATATAAATATTTTAATAGTCATCACTATCTTCATCTTCAAGATCTATCATATCTTTTTTATTTTCACTTCCATCACTACTTTTTTAGAAGTCTTCCTTCTCCTCCCTTCTTCTTTGTCAAAGTCTTCATCATCACATTCTTCTTTTTCTAATATAGTTTCTTTCCTTTTTCCATTAGATTTAGAGAAGAAGCAATTGTTGTTATCTTGGATTTTGATTTAACTTGTAGCCTAGTGTAGGTTATAGGCTCACTAGCCCTAATAGCATTGGCAACAACTCCCTAAGTTATAATCATGAAACACTAATTCATCTACAACATCTTCTCATCTCCAACAATTCTTTTTAGCAACCAATCATTACTATCATCAACATCTTTTTAAGAGAATATGATCTACCATATCAGAACATTCAAAAAGTTCATTAAGAATTTGTTTATATTTAATGAAAACCAATTCTTGCAACATTTGATGCTTAAATCTGCTCCTCTTTTTAGAATGAATATACTTTATTATTATTATTATATATATATATATATATATATATAAGTATATATTAGTTTCACACTTTCAATATTATTAGACCAAACATTTTAAATTGACGTTACTTGACATTTACTTATATGCTTAAAAGTACTTCAATTTCGTTCACATCTAGATAAATTACAAGTTAAACTCAACACTCTAATGAAAAATGTTTTGTAAATGTGGTGTACATACTCTATAGTTCTTTTACCATTCAACTGCAAGTTATGCAATGAAAAATTACATGAATATATGTACATAATTACATCACAATGAAAAATTAAATAAATATCTTATAAGGAGCTATTGTAGCCCTTTGTCTTTTTTATTTACTCAAACCAAAGAGACCTTTAGCTCTTCTGCATGCTGACAACTAAAGTGTAACATTGTCTACATCCCTTTCATTTGTACATAGTATCTCAATAAATTTATACAATTCTTTCACAATTTTATGATCATTTTCAATTTGTTTATTATAAAAAATTTGAGGATTCAAATAATGACTTGCAGCATGCAATGGATGATGAAATTGACCATCTTCTATTAATTATAACAAAAATATCCTTATACTTGTCTTCATTTCCTTTGAATGCTTTCTTCAACTCTATCAAATACTTTATATATGTAACTCATTAGAGGCTTTTTTTCATTATCAATAAGCCTATAAACTTGCATAAGTGGCTCCATAACCTTAAGAGTGAAACAACATTATTCAAAAAAGAAGACACAAGCACAATGTTAATAGCCTTTTTTCCTTTAGCTTTGTTTGCTATTTTGGACTTTAACAACTCATTTGAAGTGAATATTTTTCTAAGGTTATTTTTTTTATCATGTAACCTTCGTAATGTAAGGAATGTTATGGAAAATTTCATCATTCCATATCTAATCAATTCAGCTTTATTTGTGAACTTTCTCATGATGTTAAAACTCAACGAATGATTATAAATTAAACCAACAAGTGTTTGTTTTATTCTCTTGACTCTCACAATTTTTCAATGTCTTTTGACATCAAACTAATACAGTATGTAGTGCATAGAGTTTAAAACAAATGTGATCTTTTAACTTGCAAAAACTTACTTAAAATTAAATTGCATAGTCTAAAATTAGAAACTAATAAAATAAGAATACAAATTATTAAAATGATATTACTTGAGTTAAGAACAAATCTTACCAACTAACACATAATTACTTCCATTGTTAGTGACTGCTTGCACCACATTTTTCTCTCTAATCTCCTTATCAAAATTACTCAAGAGCTTAAATAATTTTTCTCTGATTTTCATTTAAGCAGATGCATCAATGTTCTTCACAAACATAGAACCAGTTGGATAATTTACTAAGAAATTAATCAATGTTCTATTTCTTTTATCCGTTCACATATTTGACATAATTGAACATTCTCACTTTTCTCTTTCTTCTTCACAACTATTTAAGATTTCTTTTGTATATTTTAACTCCTTTTTAAGAAGAGAAACTCTGCACTCATGATAGCTAGGAGACTTTAGGTGTGGACCATAGTTTTCAATAGCTTCAACCATTAATTTAGTTTTTTGAGCACACAACATTGAAAGCAATTTTATTCTTACAGATAAATCGCTTTATGTATTAAATTATTCTTGCTCTTTCCTCCTTTACAAAAGTACCATTTATACTTGTTTATCTTTTTGCCTTTGCTAATTTGATGTTTATGTCTGGATTCTTCGATCACAATAAATCAAAGGGGCCCTTAACATTGTTTTTCTTTTCTAGTAGTAGTATAGCCATTAAAATAAGTTGATGCAGTAGTTGAGGTTGTAGGTCTTTTTTCACTGCAAATATTTTGAATTTCTTACACCTTCTCTTCATCATTATCATCTTCATCGGGTTGAATTAAACCTGTTTTTTTTCTCAAATTTCTTCTCATGAGTTGCTATTAGTATTTTTTTTTTTTATTTCCTGAAGAACCATTGGGTAGCTATCAACATTTTCTTTCACTCCCATCTAATGTCTTCTTGTTCGGTTAATATTATTGGTAATAGTTTTTCCACAAAAGTCACAAGTAATAAAATTTTTATTATTTATGTTTTTCAAACTGTTCCATTGCCAACCATATCAAAATTATTTCCTGTTGACTTTTGATGTAACATATTTTAGGTTTACATTTATAGTTTTATTTTAATTTATAAATACTTTTAATATGCTTTATTTTTAGAGTTTTTATAATTTTTTAGTTATTTGAATAAATTAGATTTGTTATAAATAAATGCTTTAATTTCATATTTTTTGTTATTATGACCTCTGACTACTTTTT